CTCTTTATACAAGCACTTTTTGCATCTCGCTTCAATATGGCGTTATTTGAAACAACCAGACTTCAATCCTACATTATCTCTCTTTGTTTAGCAGAATTTCGTTAGAAGTTGTTAACATCATTTTCAAATAAATGTCTGCAAAAGTTCGTGCTCTGAACTGCTAGAGCGCAGACATGTGGACCACCCGTGAGAGTGCACAGCGATAGAGGAAGCGGCATTTAGCGGTACTGCCGGCAATTCGGTGCTTTGTAGCACTTACAGCATGTTCTCCTAGACATTTTGCAATAGATTCTATCTGAATTCCAGATAAGTGAAACTGTTTGTATGTGGAATGGTTGGCTACCCATTCCAAGATACCATCTCAAGTTTTTTTGTGTACATCTCTGTAACAATGCAATCTTTCTTTGAAGAGTACTTGTAATAAAACAATCTCGATCGTTCGACACATTCATGTTTTGGACGTGATTTCAGGTACTGTGCCAACTCCTAGGTGAAATGAAGGTTGCGCCTGAACTTCTGCTAGGTTCTCTAATTGACTCCGAGCTTTTGCTCAATCCCTACTCAGGTATAGAGATACAGCTAGAGAAGAAGGCTTCATATATGCAGTCTCGTGTGGTGAGCACTCCTTATAGTTACGTCATCCATATCCACCCTAAATCGGCACTTGCAGGACAAGCTTCACCAATATAATGAGCAGGCAAACACTGGTGTAACCTTGACCAAAGTTCAGGACGAAGCTCGTTCTAAGCTTGACGAAGTGATCAGGCATCAGGAGTATGTCAAGGTAGCATTCCTCTTTTGTGTTTCCTCATTTCTTTTTCTTGTGCTTGTTCTTCGTGGGTGGGTGTGGAGGTTTTTCCCCAAATCCTATTCAATCCCCATTGCCTAGAAATTGCGTGTTTTTCTTTCGAAAAGTTATTCCATTTTTTTGCTATGGTTTTTGAACAAGTTTTCTTCATAGCCTTCTTTTTGAACCCATAACAACATGTGCCACCTTCGGCGGTCATTGATGATAGATGCTGTCTTCTGAAATTATCATGTTGACAACTGGACAAAGTAAGCTTAACCGTATTTTACACAGCTTAGCCCATTCATCGTTTTCTCTTCTTTTTTTGGCCCGTGGTCTTCCTAGGGCTTGCCGTACTAGTGTGGCTAGGGTTCATGCCGTCAGAATTTGCCGACACACTAGCGAGGGAAATGAGCGATGCGATCGCAGCACTAGTGCATATTGATTGCTGTCGCGTTTTAGCGCCGCTTTAGCGTGTTTTCCATG